AATTACAACCTACAATAGAAATTCTGCATACTCGATTGTGTTGATAATTGCTGATTTTGTTACTCCTCCATCAGGTTGATCCTTATTGAAGATTCAGTTTGAACCTTTAGCTACTTATATACCATTTGTAGAAGACTAGCCATTGGATAGATAACTTGATCAAGTGTCTTTGCTTTCTCCATAGTACAAGTGATGTTGAAGATAGATACACCAAAAGATCTTGATCCATTATGTAACGTGTTTAACCATTGAGTATTCAAAGAGATCATGTACTATAGAGCCATTGAAAGTAGATATCCGTAAAGCATACAAACTTTTCTTGAGCCTTGTGAACCAAGACTCTAGCTGAAAAACTGATTTGACAATGCAACTTGCTTTCTGTAGTACATATAACTTCAGCTTTATCACTAACTCGGAATGATCACCAGAAGCCAATTTACATTCACCAACTGTAGAGAAAATTATATAGCTTCTTCTGATGCTGAGACCTTCACCTTCAGATTCTATGCCAAACATCACTTATAGAGTGTTCTTCAAATTTTGCACCCCCAGAAGGTAGTAATTCAGCTTCTCACAAGTGTGCTCTTGTATATTAGATTTTGAATATATGTATCTATAAGTGTTAGAACCTGCATACATGAAACACACATCAAATATAACCATTGTTCTTTAAATACTTTGTTACCATCAAAACCCAAAGAATATATGTCATGAACAAATCTTGTTCTAACACTCTCCCCCTTTTTGATGATGACAAACATAAGTATTTAAAGGACAATGTTGGGCAATTATAATTTTCTTTGCAACATCAGAGTATAAGGTTTATAAGCTCCCCCTGAGTCTAATAGTCCAAAGTTGAGTTATGTAAACCCACCCTAAGTACTACTTTTCAGAAAAGTATTTTAATTTTCTTAGTAACATCAGAGTCTGAGGTTTGTAAGCTTCCCCTGAGTCAAATTGTACAAAGTTGAGGTTTGTAAGCTCCCTCTCAGATCTATATTTAAGAAAACTAAAAATAATATTTTAACTTCCTTTGGCAGCATTAGAATACGAGGTTTGTAAGCTTCTTCTGAGTCTGGTAGTCTAAGGTTGAGGTTTGTAAGCTCCTTCTTAGTTCTATGTACAAGAAAGTTGAAATGTGTCTCTGGGGCAAAATAACCATTATGTACAAAATTTTAAATACAAAAACTATAAATGACCATTATGTACAAACTGAATGGGTTCAATTTCTAATTAAATACTTACTATCTTTTCTCCCCCTTTTGTCACATAAAAAAGAATAAAAAGAGAAAAAAAGAAAAGAATTATAGTTATAAATGCATAACATACAATCATTACAGGATCAACTTCCAAGGAAGGGAAAATGATCAAGTAACAGGGATTAATAAAGGATTGTGCAATGCATGTTCAATATTTATTGGTCGTAACAGTCCCAAGAATCAAGCAAAGGATCTTATTCTATTGATTAGGTTACTCAGAAGCCATTATAAAATCAACCAAAACCTAGTTCATTTTCTTCAACATCCACCAATACGTCATGGAGTCATCACTTGAAAGCAACAAAATCTCTATTGTGATAGAAGTCATAGAGAGCTCTACGAATCTGAATATCCAAAGCCTTTAGAAGCCAGCAGCTTCAAAAGCATCTTCTACTGGGCCTATACCCTCTACCATGAATACTTCATAAGAAATTTCGTCAGTAGTACCTCAATAACCTACATAAGCAGGTCCTTCGATAGCTGTGATGAAGCCAAAGAAGAAGTTGACAAGGAGAAAGAGGCTCAACGAGATGTTTTACCGTCTTGTTGTTCCAGAGACAGAAAAGAAGGATATAGATGAAGATGAACTAGATATTGATTATGGCAACTGCTTCTCCTACAAGGAAGTGGATGTCTTAGATAAGGATTTATTCTAAGTTCAATCCGATTTGTTTTGTAATATTTATTTTATAATCCTTTAACCTGATCAATGAAGAAGAAGTTTTTACCAATTTATTCCCATGCCTGTTTGCTACTCCTAAGCCTCACCCCATAGTTTATTCAGTAAGTGCTTGCCCTTTAACATGTTCCAAACCATATTCATAATGGTCATATTCTTTCTTTCTTTCTCTCTCTCTCAACAATCCCATTTTGTTGGGGTGTGTATGATGGCACAACTTAATGAACAATTCCCTCCTTTTCACATAATAAATCAAACTCATTTGACACACACTCACCTCCACCATCACTTCTTAAAACCATGTTCTTATGACCACTTGTCTTTATACCGTGGACTTAAACTTTATACATACATCAATCACATCCGTTTTTTTTTTTTTTGATCTAGTACATCCATAGTTTTTTGCTAAAGTCATATATATAAATGTGACAAAGTACTTGTTACCTCCAATTGAGTCAACTTGAGTGAGGCCACACACATCAAGTTATATGACTTCAAGAGTAGCTCTAGATCTTCTTCCTGCATCTTTACTGAAGTTATTCTTATGTTGCTTGGCTGATACACATTCTTCACACACTTTACTAGGGATATGAGTTTTAGGCAATCCTGAAACCATATTCTGCTTCTTCAGGTGGCTAATATCTCTAAATTTGAGACAACCAAGCCTATAGTGCCATAATCACTCATCCATGCTAGCTACAGTTTCTAGTCACTTATGCTTCAACACACCAAGATCAATCTTGAAGGTTCTATTGTGTGACATATGTGCCTCAAGATCAATATTCAACTTAAGTCATGAATTCTCATCATCTTGTCTTCTATCAACACTTTATAGTTTTTGTCAATCAAATGGCCCATGTTGAATAAGTTACTATTCATACCTAGAATGTATAACACATTTAAGATCAATGATTATTTTCCATCTTTTCTCAATCAATACATTACCAATTCCTTCTGCTGCTAATGTGATATCATTTGCAAATCACTTTGTTCTTCATAGATTCAGTGATGTTGAAAAACTAGTCTTTCATACCAACCATGTGGGATGGACACCCTATATACAAATACCATTGATCTTTATATATTTTTTCTTCCTTTGTTGTTACCATCAGTAACGCATCTTCATTTTGTTGCTTTGCCAGTTTTACATCATCATCTTGATCTTTCTTGCTCCCATAATATTCATCAGTAAAATGACCATATTTCTAACAACTGTAACATTGAATGTTACTCTTGTTAAACTTCTTTCGTCATCCTCTAACACTATTGCTACTACCACCTATATGGTCACCTATTATTACTATATTTCTGACTTAATGAGCTAGCTTCTTACCGATAATTTCTACCATTTAAATTGTTGTGTCCACCTCTGGCTTTGTTTCCATTCCACTTTCCTTTGCCCTTCTTATCTTTATTTGATTGTGCCTATAATGCAACCTCTTATTTTTCCTTGTCTTGCATTTCTCTCTACCATTCTTTGTTCATATGATTCAAGAGACCCTTGCACTTCTTCTTTTGTCAAACTTGAAAAATCTTTGGACTCTTATATGGACACCACAATATAATCAAATTTTAGGGACAAAGATATCAAGATCTTTGCAACTACAAACTTTGTTGATATCACCTCACCACACACCTTGATTTGATTCACCAACCTAGTCACTCTTGTAACGAAATCACGTTTACTTTCATTTTCTTCCATCTGAAGCAACTCAAACAACCTCTTCTGAGTTTGTAACCTTACATATTTCACCTTTTAATCGATCACCATCAAATGATTGTTCCAATACGTCCCATGCTTTCTTTGAGGAATCAGCATCTCCAACCTTCTCAAAATTGTCTAGATCAACACAATAGTGAACTTTAAAGAGAGCTTTATGCGAATCCTTCTAATCATCTGTGACACAGTCACTAATTGGTGTAACACCATTCTTCACAATATCCCACACATCTTAATAGTAAAACATTATTTTCATCTGCTTACACCAATTATCGTATTTCTTTTAATTTAGAATGAGAACATTTGTCGGGAAATGACCATTTATATGAGAAGTCATTGCTCAAGATCACCCAATAACTTAACTAGATACTATAGATACCAGATGTTGGAACAAAACTTAAACACTAAAACACACAAACACATGAAAGAGGCACACAAAATTATACTTCAAAGCTTTGTTCACACACACAATATTGCAGAGTGAATGGAAGATATGAAGATTGAGAAGAGTGAGTAATCACACTTGCACTTATTATTCAATGATCACAATACAAGATTATATATAATTGTGACTTACACTACAAGACAGTAACAAATCTAACTAATCACGATTCTCTAATTTATACTCCCTCTGGTCTCATATATAAACAATTTTACAAAAAAGTTCACCTTTTAAGAAAATGTATAAATACATTTAAAATTCAGACTCTTTCTAATTTGACTCATACTTTTTGCACTGAAAATCGTTAAAAACATAAAAATGAAAAAAAAAAAAGTTGGAGCATACTCCTATTTGAAATACTAACATTAAATGTAATAAATATATGTGATTTTTGCTTATATTTAAGTCTATTGAAAATTTTTCTTCTTCTTATATTTGAGATGAAAATAACATAATTTTCACACAAACTAAATATTACTTAGATTCCAAGTAATTACAAATGAGACACTAATTAATTACTCTCAAGAGTTGCCATGCCTAGAAGATACCAACTATCCCCTATGGCCTATGCAGACTACATGCTAATAAATGCATTCTATTGAATTTATGTCAAATGCACACATATTATCCCCTATGATTTTGAAAGATGCATGGGCTGTTAGTTACAACACGGACTAGCTAGCCGCGCATTTACTCTCACTCTGCATCATACTAATTCAATGGATCCCCACAACAACCAACTACCTATACTTACAAATTGTTACTTCATTAATTATATTATAGTTGGCACAATGTCACTCTTATATATCTAACCTCATACCACACACATCAATTCTCATTTATTCATCCAAACCAAACCTATGCTACTATCTCCATTTCACCATTTCTCAACATAGAACCATGAAGAACACACAAACTAAACAAGATCAAGAACAAGAACAAGCCTTAATGATTCCACCCAAAAAAGGAAGACACGCATGTATAACTTGCTTTTGCATAGTCTTGTTACTGTTATTAATTCTAGTAACAGCTTCTGTTGTTCTTGCCTTAACACTTTTCAAGCCTAAACAACCAAAAACAACGATTTCTTCAGCTACTCTACAATCCATATCACCTCGCGTAACGCTTCCTGTTATTGACATACAAATCAACGTTACTCTCGACATAAAGATCCAAGTCGAGAATCGAAACCGTGTGAGCTTTAAACACGGAGATGGAACTAGTCTTTTGATGTATAAAGGTGTTGAAGTTGGAGATACTGATATTTTTCCTGGTTTGATTCCTGCAAGAAGTTCTACGATTCTTCCTTGTAGGCTTGTCCTTCAAGCTGATAAGTTGGCTTCCAATTTGACAGGTTTTATAGGGGATTTAACGGGTGGTCAACTTTCCTTGCAAACGGTTACTAGGATTCCTGGAAAAGTTACTTTTCTTGGGTTTATCAAGAAACATATCGTGGCTGTCTCTAATTGTCAATTTGTTTTTGGTTTTCCTGATATGAAGATCAAAAGCCAGATATGCAAGAATAAAGCTAAGTTATGAATCAATGATTTTGGATTGTTCGTAGTATGATTGCACGCAGATAGTCTTATCTGATTAGATTGTCTGATCAGATGAGTTTGACTGCGTGCAAATATATGATTATGGCTATAGAGAATCAGATTCATAATGAATACTACTCCTATATTGTAATTTCATAGTACTTTACTATATAAATAGTAGTTTTAGATGTATTAATGTATTTGTATGCTAGAATATTAGAAGGTAGGTGTAGTTTTGAAAATTTTGGAAATACTATTTTGAGTATATTTTTTATATGTATTTTGGGCATATTTTGACTTTGTGAATATTGATACATGTTATGTGATGGTATAGAAAAGAAGAAGACCATGTTCAGGGCATGAAGATTATGAATCTTGACTTTATTTCTGCATTTTATTCAAAATAAAGTTTTCCTGTTGTGGAATTCAGATTATGTTTGGCTTCAATGAGTTTTCATTTATCTTGAAGACAACAACAACATGAAAGTGAAAGGAAAACCATTTTTTTCTTTCTTTCCTTACCTCTTAAGGAGAGCAAAAATGGATAACAAACTCTGATAATTGTATAGAGAGTTGCTGGATGAGAGCACAAGGAATAAATTACATATCACTTTAAAAAAATTATTCTAAACTATAAAATGCTACCTCTGATTTTTTATTTATAAAAAAGAGATAATTTATTTTTTAGGTTCATTTAACAATTAATCTATCTAATCTATATATAAATGGACTAAATATATTAATTATTTAATAAATCTAAAAACGTAAATTGTTTTTTATAAAAAAGAATAGTGGTAGTATAAGTTAGTCACATTATTAATAAAATATTAAAGTTTTTTTCTTTCCTAATCTATACCTATATATAAAGTCAAAACTTGCTTTTGGTGCAGCCTATTTTTGTTTCAATTATACTATTTTTTATTTTTGTTTTAAATCTCAACTTCTTTTTCATTAATCTCTATACGGTGGTTTACATATCTTTTCATTCTATTATTATTTTTTTATTTTATAAATAATTTAATTAAAAGGCAAAACTTAGTTTTTGTATAGTCTATTTTTATTCAAATTATACCCTTTTCAATTTTTATTTTAAATCTAAACTTCTTTTTTATTAACCTCTACATAGTGGTTTACATATCTCTTTCATTCTACTATTTTTTTATATTTTATAAATAATTTAATTAAAATAAAAAATAAAGAGGGGAAAGCTACTGTAAGGCCTCGCTACCTATTTGCTGGGGCTTCGCCTAGCGAACCCCTCGCTACCTCGCTCGCTGCCAGCGAAGGGGTCAATTACATTTTGTCCAAGTCTGGGACCATTCGCTACTAGCTCGTTACTAGCTCGCTACAGCGAACACTCGCGACCTGCTCGCCTAGCGAAGGTGCTAGCGAACGTCTGCGATGTTCAAAACCCCAACTGTCCAAAATCATCAAATCATCACCAAATAAACCGATTCAATTCCAACGACTTCCAGTAGTCTTAGCCTAACACCCCTCGACTAAACTACACCACTTATTCTTGGTTTTAACTGTTAAAACATCGATTCTACCGATTAAACTCATTTCTGCCCTAAAATGGAAAAAGATGGGAAACCTCTAACAAATCCAAACACACACATATATAATCATATACATTGGTAAGATAACAACATTTCACACCCTTACCTTGATTAAATCAAAGCTAGAAGTTGTTCTGGAGCTTTCCAAGCTTTCCCCTCTTTTCCTTCTCTTTTCTTTTCTTCCTCTTTCTTTATCTTCTCTTTCTCTTCTCTTTTCTTTCCACTTTTCCTTATATGTCTTTCTATTCTATTTCCTTCAATTATATTTCATTTCTCAAAATATCTACCAATAATTCCAATAATTAAAATCATCTAAATAAATCAATTAATTAATATGAATAATTAATTATTGAAAATTTGGCTGTTACAACCCTCCCCCACTTTAGGAATTTTCGTCCTAGAAAATGTTACCTATTTCAAACAGCTCGGGATAGGACTCCCTCATCTGACTCTCAAGTTCCCAAGTCACATTTCCACCAGCCAGTCCTCCCCAAGCGACCTTCACCAAAGCAATCTCTTTGCCTCGAAGTTGCTTCAACTCCCGATCCTCTATCCGCATAGGTGATGTCTCCACAGTCAGGTTATCTCTCACCTGCACATCATCTACTTGGACTACATGAGACGGATCCGCAATGTATTTCCTCAACTGAGATACATGGAACACGTCATGGAGATTAGAAAGCGACGGCGGTAAAGCAAACGATAGGCTACCTCTCCTATCTTCTGCAAAATCTGATAAGGACCAATAAAATGCAGCGTCAACTTACGCGACTTCAATGCCCTACCAACACCATTCATAGAAGTAACCTGAAGAAACACATGATCTCCCTCCTGAAATTCAAGTGTTTTCCTCCTCTTGTCATGATAACTCTTTTGATGACTCTGAGAAATCTTCATCTTCTCTTGAATCATCTTAATCTTATCGGTGGTCTGCTGGACTATCTCAGGTCCCACCACAGAACTCTCTCCCGACTCATACCAACACAATGGCGTCCTACACCGTCTACCGTACAATGCTTCAAACGGTGCCATACCAATACTCGAATGAAAACTGTTGTTGCAAGTAAGTTCAATCAAAGGTAAGTAGCTATCCCAAGCTCCTCCCTTCTCCAATACACAAGCTCTCAAAAGATCCTTAAGTGACTGAATCGTTCTCTCAGTCTGACCATTAGTCTGCGGATGATAAGCTGAACTCAAACGCAACTTCGTATACAAAGCAATTTGCAAACTCTCCCAAAATCTCGAAGTAAACCTTGGATCTCTATCTGACACAATGCTAGATGGAATACCATACAAACTGACAATCCTTTCGATGGCCAATCTCTCTAACGGGTAATCCATTCGCATAGGAATAAAGTGAGCAGATTTGATCAACCTATCCACAATAACCTAAATAGCTTCAAAGTTACTTGGTGTTTTAGGTAAACCAGACACAAAATCCATAAATATGCTATCCCATTTCCACTCAGGAATAAACAATGGTTGCATCAAACCCGACGATTTCTGATGTTCAATCTTTGACTTCTGACAAGTCAAACAAGAATACACAAACTCGACAATATCCTTCTTCATACGAGGCCACCAAAATACTTTCCTCAAATCTTGATACATCTTAGTAGCACCCAGATGAATACTCAATCCACTACAATGCCCTTCCTCAAGAATACTCATCTTCAGATAAATAGCATCAGGAACACAAACTCTATCACGACACCTCATGATACCATTTTCATCAATCCGAAAATCACCACCTTGACCTTGATTGATCAAAGTCACCCGATCAACTAAACTCAAATCAGATTTCTGTCCTTCTCGAATCTCGTCAAGAATACCACTAGTAAGCTTTAACATACCCAACTTAACTCCGTAGGAAGTCTTCTCACACACCAAACTCAAATCACGAAATTGTTCAATCAATTCCAACTCTTTTACCATCATCATCGACATATGCAACGATTTCCTACTCAATGCATCAGCTACCATATTCGCTTTACCCGAATGGTAATTCAAACCAAAATCATAATCCTTCAGAAGTTCTAACCATCTCCTCTACCTTGAATTCAATTCTTTCTGATCAAAAAGATACTTCAAACTCTTATGATCACTAAATACCTCAAATCTCGAACCAAACAAATAATACCTCCAAAGCTTCAGTACAAATACAACGACGACCAACTCTAGGTCATGCGTCGGATAATTCTTCTCATGCACTTTGAGTTGCCTCGAAGCATAAGCCACAACTTGTTTATCTTGCATGAACACACCTCCCAGACCCATCAAAGAAGCGTCATAATACACAACAAACGGTTCTGCCGGATTCGGCAAAATCAAAACAGGAGCTGTCGTCAATCTTCTTTTAAGCTCTTGAAAACTTTCTTCACACTTTGCATTCCAAACAAAAGCTTGACCTTTCCTAGTCAACTGCGTCAACAACAATGATAACTTGGCAAATCCTTCAATGAATTTTCGATAATATCCCGCCAAACAAAGAAAACTTCTAATCTCAAAAACTGATTTCGGAGTCTCCCATTGTGATACTGTTGTACCCCAAAATTTGACCGACCTCTCTGGCTTATGTTTTATTTCATAGCATCAGCACATACGTAAGCATTGCACTGCATAAGCATACCCCAAATTTGTCCTACCAGTATATACCTTCACCTGTGCATCCATTCACTAACTATATCTAGGAAAAAGGAGGAGGCTATCTTTGCTTGTGGTTCAGGGTTGTGTAAGGTGACTCGGGCAAGTGATGAGTATTATTCAGTGGCTTTTTTTTTTGGTTAGTCAGTCAAGAGATTGTTTCATGAGTTTTCAATCAGGGTTTCTGTACCCCAAATCATCTGTATGTGGGTCAGTTGTCAGGACTGTGGTTAATCAAGTGTTTTGTTGTCGATGATCAACAGGATCAAGTTTATTCTTCAATTAAAGTTTAATCATGGTTCTCTGATTTTAAGACATGTTTTGGCTCAGGGAGTTTTTATATTAGAGACTTTGGTTTGTTGACATTCAAATGGTCAAATCCAGACTGATTTATTAATTCAAGGCTCTAATCCGTTCCCAATTTAGGATAATTCAAGGTCAATTCTACTTCTCAAGGTTAACTCAAGTGGCAATTATTTCAAGTTAATAATTTTGTTTGGTTCTCGCGGGATGTCAAGTTTTCATCATTTTAAGGCAAGAACTTTGAGTTTGGTTATCATGATCTTATGGCGATTTCCAAGTTTTGTTTATGAGTGAGGTGTAAAACTGGTGTCAAAGTGTATAACCATTTGGATCCAGTTGCTTCTATAGACAAAGTTTTGTGCAAAGTAAAATCTGGAAAGTCTTAGTCAATGCCTTTTGTTTGATGTCTCAAGTCCAAAGTTTTTTGTGTAAAAAAATTTTATTATAAAAATACATTGGATCAAAGATTTAGAACACATTCTCATTGGTTGTTCTC